TTACATCTCTTTGAAAATCGTATAGAAGAAATTGGTGAAACTTTAGTTGATTCATTTATGGAAACAAGAAATGAATTGTGAGAAAATTTCTTACTTTATTGCTTGATTGAAACAATTAAATTAGATAGCAATTTAAAATCATTTAATGTTTGGAATTTCTTCTATAGACTCCTGTCTGACTCTGAAGCCGTTTTTAACAAAGCAATCGATCATTACTATAATGATTCAGATTATGCTGATTCTGTTAAACCACTTATTCTGTCGCCAAAGTTTTATTATAGGGTACTGATGAAGTTTGGTACAGATGCACAAATAACAGCTCTCTGTTTTGAAAGCATCCTTTTAATTCGTGTTAGCATCGATCAACAACTTAAACAGACTTCTGATCTCGACATCCCAATTAGTATGAATCAATATGCATTTAAAGAGACATGTAACATTTTTAAAGTTATTTGTAACGGCAAAAATATTTTTCGACCTTCTCATTTGGATTTAATTTCGCAATGCTTCAACATAGAAATCCTTGGAATGTTATTTGGCCATTATTTACCTAGCTTGTTTAACTTAGAAATTACCCATGCAAATCACTGAATATGAAACTATTCAATATCAACTTCACATAATAAGAAAAGAACAACACATTGCGTACTAAAGGAATGGGAGCAAAAGTTACAATAAATGCTTGATAATCATACAAACCGATCTCCGTATTTAAGAGTTTTCTTTTTGAATTTTGGGTAAGAAAGTTATACGCTTCCGAAATTAAGAGAGAAAGATATGGATATAAGAAAATACTCTGATAGAACAACGAACGCGTCGACAGACGAAAATAGCGTCGAAACAAACCAAATTGATTCTATTTATTTTGAAGTATAAATACCGTGTAATATATTATGTTTATGTTTATGATCTATGACTAAGATCTATAATTACAATTTATAATTGAGATCTATAATTATGGTTTATATGATATGCTCAATAAGATTTAATATGAATAAGTGAAGGAGTAAGTATGCGATATTATATAATTAACATATAAATTTAAAATAGAATTTTTCTATTACCCATGACTTTTCATTTTTTAAATCGCTGCTTCTCTTTCATTTTTAACGATAAAGGTATAATAATTTTTGCCTAAACAAATAGAGAATAGTATACTTTAGAAAGTTTTTGGATTTTAAAATAGCCAATCGTGCAAAAAAAAAAACTCTTGAAAAATTTCTATTACAAATATCTTTTGCTTTATTGCAATTTTTTAAAATACAAAATTATATCTCCATATTAGTATTTTATATATTGTCTTCAATAAAAGTATTTTATTTTTTTATAGATTAGATCTTTCTGGAGCCTTAGCAGTAGCAATTGAAAGTTTTAATAAATTATTTATTCACGTGACGCAAATGTATCGAAACCATAGCTGCCGCAACAAATTTGGACCGGCAGATCCTCGATTTTGATTGGCTAACGGCCGAGGATCTTCAAAATTTTGGCCCACATTACAAAATTGTTTACTAAATTCCGGCCGGAATTACTTTTGATTTTTTCATTACAAAAATAGAAATTCTTAAAAAATATGCCCGCATTATGGTAAAATTTACCCAGAAACAATTTTCACTTAATGATTTCATTAGTGAAATTATGGCCTAATTTTTTGATCGTCGCTCTTAGCCAATCAAAATCGAGAATCTGCCGGTCCAAATTATTGCGGCAGCTATGGTTAATGAATTAGATACATTCTTGATGTATCATACTTATATAAACTTTAAATTTTTTTCAAGAATTTGAGCTATGTAATCTCGATGACCACCCAACTAATTCATATTTTTTGATTTTTTGATTCTACTGTCCTGTAGATCAAATTAAAAAAAAAAATTTACTGAATTTGGTTATGAAGTTGAGATATTTTGCTCAAAATTTTATAATAATTTTGCTGTGGATGTTATTTTGATAGACTCTATGAATTATATTTTTTTGACTCTACAGAACTGTAGAATTAAAATAAAAAAACTTTATTGAATTTGGCTAGGTAGTTCTAAGATATTTTCACTCAAAGTTTTATAAAAAGTTTGTTGCGGCTGTTATTTTGATAGACATCGTTTTCAAAAATTTGAGCGAAAATATCTCAGCAACCACCTAATCAAATTCGATGTATTTTTTTTTTTTTTTTTTGATTCTACAGATCTGGAGAATCAAAATAAAAAGGACTTCATCGAATTTGGTTGAATATTTGCTGAAATATCTTCACTTAAATTTTATAAAAAATTTTCCACTGCTGTTATTTTGATATATATTTTAATGCTTTCAAAATTTTGAGCGAAGTTACCTCAGCAACCACTAGCCAAATTCAATGATTTTTGTTTTATTTTGACTATGCAGATCTGTCGTATCAAAAAAAAAAATTCATCAAATTTGGATAAGCACTGTTATTTTTAACGTTTTCAAAACTTTGAGCAAAATATCTCAGCACCTACCTAGCAAAATTTGATGAATTTTTTTATTTTGATTCTACAAACATGTAGAATTAAATAAAAAATATTTATCGAATTTGGTTAGGTAGGTGCTGAGATATCTTCGCTCAAAGTTTTATAGAAATTTTGCAGTAGTTATTTTAAGATATTTTAACGTTTTCAAGAATTTGAACGAAAACATCTTAGCAACTACCTAGTCAAATTCGATGAATTTTTTTTATTTTGATTGCGTAGATTTATAGAAACAAAAATAAAAAAAAAATCAATCGAATTTATTAGTTAGCTACTAAGATACTTTCGCTCAAAGTTTTTATAAATTTTTTGCCACCGGTTATGTTTGCTTGACGTTTTAATGTTTCCAAAACTTTGAGCGAAATTATCTCAGCAACTACCTAACCAAATTTGACGAATTTTTTTATTTAGATTTCACAGATTTGTAGAATCAAAATAAAAAAAATATTATCGAATTTAGTTAGGCGGTCATCGAGATATCTTTGCTCAAATTCTTGAAAAAATTTAAATTTTATGTAAGAACACCTTAATTTTGATGCATTGTAGATCTATCAAAAAGCAACCCAGATCTATAAAAAACGATACTTTTGCATTTCAACCAGCCTATTTTTACAATTTTTTAAAAAGTGGGATTTTATTGAATTCATGTAAATTTGACATGATACATTTTTCAATTATAAATAAAAGTTGATTTTATAATAAAAACCAAGATAATGTAAAAAGAAAAATTACATGAGGCTGTGTAAAGCAACTACCCAGAATATTTTTACTAGCACATGATGATTGACAGAATTTAGCCAAAAATAATTGTGTTTTGGTGTAATATAACACGATCTGAAAATTTCAAAACAAACATTCTTTGCAAAAAAAACTTAAAAAATACTTATTATTTAAAAATTTATATAAAAAACCATTTTTTATATTTAACAAAAAATTTCTTTAAGCAATTTTACTGTTAAAAACTCTCAAACTCTAATCTTAATATAGACCCTAACTTTAAGCTAAACAAACTTAAAGATTTTTTGGTATAACTATATAATAGTAGAGTCAACATATCACAAGATTACCTAAATAGTTACCTGTTATCTTTAACAATCAAAAATTGTAAAATTAGATAATTTAAAAATCAAACCAAAATTAAATCAACAGATTCTTAATTTTAATTAGCTAAGAGCAATAATCAAAATATTAGGCTGGAGTTACTCATAATTTTACTAATAAAATTATAGCTATCTATTAAATGTCGGGGGATGATGCTAAAATTGGCTAATGCTAAAATTTAGGGTTCTCATTTAAATCTATAATACCTACTAAAATTCACATATACTTTTTTACTAACAACACTACCCTCAAACCCTAACTAACTTTAAAAAAAAACCCTAACAAAAAGATCTGAAAATTTTTTAAAATTTTATAATAAAATAAGTCAA